CCAAATCATTTCCGACACCTCTGCCACGAAACTCGTCAGCCTTCAACCCTCACGGAGAATCCATGATACCGAACTAGTATCATGCCCACTCCCGACCACTCCTCGCCTTGACCTCATGACCCTGTCCTTCGATGACCTGGCATCCGTTATGTTCGCGAAACTTCTTGCCATTGATACGAAAGACCTCACCCCTTACCAACAAACCATCCTCCGTGTTCTTTTGGGTACTTCTGACACCAAAAGCACTTGCCGTGACAGTCCTCGTGGTCGCAAACGTTCACATAAGGGTCCCGACGATTCGGAACCTCATGAGGGGGAGAACAAGCGGCCTGGAACACTTGAGCAAGCCGCTTCCACAAGCCAATCTGCACAGCCCGATCAACCCGAATTCTCAACCAACCAAAATCCACCCGCCTCTAGCCGAAACCAAAACCTAGCCAACCTATCTAGCCTGGTCGAGCTAGACGAAACATCCTGAGGCGTATCTCCGAGAGATATTGTTCGAGGAGGGGATGGAAGTCCTATTGATGTTGCCTCTGGTACATCCTCACAATCAGGCCATCAGTCAGAACATAGTTCAGAACTGATGACAACTGTAATACTTGAAATTTAATTTAAATGGATTAATAGTACTACTCATACCAACAAGATGCATCTCCTTTTAAGGGAGCTCATCACTAAGAACTCCAAAGTTAAGCGTGCTTGCATAGGACTAGTCTTGGGATGGGTGACCCCCTGGGAAGTTTCTCAGGGCGCGCACGAGTGAGGACAAAGTGTGCGGAAAAGGCTAGTGGAAGTTTGTGAGGATAGTACTAGAGGTCTAGAGTAACTCCCTCCGGTTCTGCGGGGCCGGGGTGTTACAATGGTATCAGAGCAACCCTGCGACAGTGTGCTGATCTGTTGGATATTGGGCAGACACTTAGCAGGGGAAAAGATTCTGGGATATGATTGTGATTGGTTTATGGCGAAACGAGGACGTTGCGTTCCTAACCAGGGGTGATTGTAATACTTGAAATTTAATTTAAATGGATTAATAGTACTACTCATACCAACAAGATGCATCTTCTTTTAAGGGAGATCATCACTAAGAACTCCAAAGTTAAGCGTGCTTGCACGGGAGTAGTCTTGGGATGGGTGACCCTCTGTGAAGTTTCTCAGGGTGCGCACGAGTGAGGACAAAGTGTGCGGAAAAGGCTAGTGGAAGTTTGTGAGGATAGTACTAGAGGTCTAGAGTAACTTCCTCCGGTTCTGCGGGGCCGGGGTACTGTTACAACAACGAGAAATCCTTGTGATCCCATTGTTCCAGAGTACAGGTTCCCGACACCACAAGTCAACCAGCTCCTACCACTCCTTCATCATAGGCAATGCACGATGAACTTGAAGATATCATTATACATGACAAGTGGCCTAAGAAATGGACGGAGTGGGATCAAATTCCAGTGACGAAGAAACCGAGGACATGCAGCGGAGATGGTACTTGCGAGAACTAATCGTCAAATGCGCAGCAGATATCATTCGGCTTGATGAAGAGGAACTCAAAGAAGGGAAAAATTATAAAGAAACTCCCAAGGAATTGGAATCAATAATAAGACAAATGACGGGACGACTTCCCAAGAATGAGAAACCTTGGGAGAACGTTAGAATCAAAGCCCCCTTCCAAAAGGAACTCAGAAAGTGTGTCTGGCGTAAACCGGAGAAGGTCAGACCTTTAAGAGAACTGAGGATGCGCGGACTTACACATTTGAAAGGAAAAGAAGCAGGAGGTCACCTACACATGCTACTTCATAGATCTTCAGGGCCTCAACGACAACTTTTGCAAAAAGATCTAAAGTCTAGTACACATCCTGTTCATGCAATACTACAAGTCAAGGCCGAAGATCATCATACAATCAGATTCTACTCCTACAAAGTCCAACGCACTGACGGTAGTGAATTTGTATGCCAAGAAAATGACTTCATAATGCTCAAAATGGATGATATATGGGATGTTTATGGCGTACAGATACCTACCGGTCAGAAACAATCGAACTTACAAAGAAGGTTTTGAAGCAATCAAGCATTTCATGCTGAGACAAGTTCGAGTCAACGCTTCCCATGACTTCCAAATGGCTCTAGAAAATAATATCCCAAAAGCGAATCTATCTCAGCCAAAACTGTATGGTCCGGAGCTCGAGGACTTTCCTGCTTACCACATTTTCTTCACTCCACCTACAGTAGTCTATCTGAACCACAAGGATGAAAAACGTTTGATGGTGGTTGAAGAGATCCACAAATTCTGTGATGGGACATTGAAAATAATTCAAGAGAAGCTACGGAAAACAAAGGAAGAGCTTGACAGAAAACTTGTGGGTGCATCTACATATACTCTAAAGGAGCATGAAGTGCTGAGTTTGATTCTGAAAGCTATTGATGAACGCCTAGAAAAGAGAAACATCCCCATATAATATGAGCACGCACTAAACCACAGGAAAAACTACTTTAGAGCTTAGAAAGAAAACAAGACGACACTTGATCAAAAAGGGGGAGATTGTTGAAGAATATTTATTGTGAGTCAAGTTTGTCAAGAGTCTTTGTATTAGTATTGCCTTTATTACTCCTTGATGTATTAATTGTGAGTATTTATTAGAGTAGTAAAGGTAATGGGGCCTAAGTTGTCAGGCCCACATACCTGGCTGAATAGCCTTTACGCAAACCTGCCTTAGCCTATAAATATACACGTAAGGCTTAGGTTTGTGTTAACTTTTGCATTCGAACTATCAGCCTTAGCGCTCATCATTCTGTCACTACAAAAAAACACGCCGTTTGTCACGGATTTTTGTCACGGATTCCGGCCGTGACAAATTTGTCACGGGCTTTGTCACGGATTTTTGGGATTTGTCACGAAAATTATTTGTCACGGATGTATCCGTGAAAAAATCCGTGACAAAATTTTGTCACGGATTTGGTCCATGACAAATTTATTCCGGCGACCGGTTTTTTACTCCGGTGAATACTTTTTTGCTTCCGGGCATTTGTCACGGACAGATCCGTGACAAATCCGTGACAAATTTCAAAAAAAATCAATTATTGATTTTCCAGCGGTAACCTTTAATAATACGGTATGGGAAAGATTTGTCACGGATAAATCCGTGACAAATCCGTGACAAATTTCAAAAAAACTCAATTATTGATTTTCCAGCGGTAACCTTTAATAATGCGGTACAGAAAAAGATTTGTCACGGATAAATCCGTGACAAATCCGTGACAAATTTTTATATATAACCCAACTCCATCGTCCATTACAATTGCAAGAACAACAATCAGTTTAAAAATTCGTAGATTCGAGTGATGTAGTATCGGTTTAAAGATTGAATGATGTAATCCGTCAGTTCATCATTTTCCGAGTTTATGCTGATAAGGTATGTCATTTTAATTAATTTCCTTTAATTGTGTGATAAATTAATTATTAGCTTAATTAATTAATTATTATTAGTGAGGTTAGGATTCTTTTTTCTTTATATAATAATAATTAATTATTAGCTTAATAATTAATCAGTGAGGTTTGTTAAATAATTAATTATTAGTTAAATTTAAATATAAATATTAATTAGTTAAATTATTGTTATTATTAGTGCATAATAATTTAGGATGTGTAGTGATGATTTAAGTATTAGCTAGCTTATTATAGATTAATTAATTAGTGACTTGTAGTGATTTAATTAATTAGTTAGCTAGCTTAATTATTAGGTTATTAGTTATCACCAATTATTATTTATTAGCAATTATTGTTAATGGGATGCATAATTAATATAACTAGCTAGGATTGAAACTTTATTATTATTTAGTTTAGTGTGAATTATTATTGTGAATTATTAATGAGATAATATTTAACAATAATATTAGTTAAATGTAAATTAATTGACTAATTAATTAAGTTAAAACATTGAGGAAATGGGTTTAGAATTTGATGAGTTGATAATATTAGTTAGATTTAAATATTAGTTAATTGATCAATGATGATAATGCATGATTAGGTTTAATTTGTTTATTAATTAGTTAATTATTGTTAATGCATAATTTAGGATTTGTAGTGATTTAAGTTAGGATTCAAACTTTATTAGTTAAGTGTGAATTATATATTATTGTGAATTAATTATATTTAACAATATTAGTTAAATGGAAATTAACTAATTAATAAGTTAAATTAGTTAATTATTGTTAATGGGATGCATAATATATATAGCTAGGGTTGAAACTTTATTTTTATTTAGTTTAGTGTGAATTATTATTGTGAATTATTTTTGTGAATTCACAATAATAATTCACAATATTAGTTAAATCGAAATTAACTAATTAATTAAGTTAAAACATTGAGGAATTGGGTTTAGAATTTGATGAGTTGATAATATTAGTTAGATTTAAATATTAGTCAATTGATCAATGATGATGATTAGGTTTAATTTGTTTATTAATTAGTTAATTATTGTTAATTAATGATTAATTTAGGATTTGTAGTGATTTAAGTTAGGATTCAAACTTTATTAGTTAAGTCTGAATTATATATTATTGTGAATTAATGATATTTAACAATATTAGTTAAATGGAAATTAACTAATTAATAAGTTAAATTAGTTAATTATTGTTAATGGGATGCATAATATATATAGCTAGGCCGGGTTGAAACTTTAATTTTATTTAGTTTAGTGTGAATTATTATTGTGAATTATTATTGTGAATTATTATTGTGAATTATTAATGAGATAATATTTAACAATAATATTAGTTAAATGTAAATTAATTAACTAATTAATTAAGTTAAAACATTGAGGAATTTGAGTTGATAATATTAGTTAGATTTAAATATTAGTTAATTAATTGATCAATGATGATGATTAGGTTTAATTTGTTTATTAGTTAATTATTGTTAATGCATAATTTAGGATTTGTAGTGATTTCAGTTAGGATTCAAACTTTAGTAGTTAATAATTAAAACGATTAATGCCATTAACATATTACTATTAGTTAAATATTAGTAAATCAACGCTTTTAGTTAATGTCACAAATTAAAGTTGGTTAATTCAAATTATTAATGCCACAAATTAAATAATGTACTACTTTTAGTTAATTAATAATATTAATGTACTTATATATTATTTTGATTATAATATATATACAGGCATAATGTATAGACAAAACAGAAGTTGGATGTACCAAAAACATCGTGATAACTATGGAATACGCAGTGAATTTTTGAATGGTGTTGAAGATTTTATTAAATTTGCACAAGAACAGAAGAATTATATGGATGGAGATAAAATCAGATGTCCATGTACAAAGTGTAAAAATCTTCAATTTAAAGATGTCGACCAAGTTGTGTGGGATTTGTACGAAAAAGGTTTCGTTGCCAATTATTATAATTGGACTTCTCATGGTGAACCTTTCGATCCATCACTTTTACCGCAACCAGTGGGTTCATCTCGTAACGTCCCTACCGAGATGAGTGGATGGGGAGACTATGATCAAATGACGTGGGATCAAAGAATGGCATATGATGTATACGGTGCTTCAACGATGCAGTTTAACCCACCACAGCCATTTAACGATCTTCCCGAAGCTTCGACCTCGTATCAACCCGATGCGGATGAAGATCAGACCTTTTATCAGTCTGCTGTGGATGAGTATCAGAATTCTCATGTTCCTCATATTGAAGACTTAGCTGAAAGATTTCAAGATGTTTTAAAAGCTGCTGATCAGCCTCTGTATGCTGATTGTGAGGGATACTCTCAGCTATCCGCCGTTACAGAGTTGATGAACATTAAATCTGAATACAATCTTCCTGAATCTTGCATGTCTAGGTTATTGCAGTCATTTGGAGGAATGTTACCGCGTGACCATAATCTTCCTGATTCATATTACAAAATGAAACAATTAATGTCTCAGTTGGGGCTTCCTTGTATAGAAATTGATGCGTGTCCAGAAGGATGTATGTTGTTCTGGAAGGATGATGTGGCACTTGAGACCTGCAAGTTCTTTGGTGGAAAGAGATACAAGCCTGTTCCTCATAGACGAAAAAAACCACGAAAAAGGTCTGCATTGTCTAAATTGTTTTACCTCCCTCTAGCTCCACGCCTGCAGAGGATGTATGCTTCAAATGCTACTGCGAAACACATGACGTGGCATGTTGAGCACGAAACCAAAGAGGGTTTGATGTCTCACCCTTCCGACTGTGAAGCTTGGAGACACTTTGACCGTTGTCATCCTCAGTTTGCAATGGAGCCACGGAATGTGCGACTGGGATTGTGTTCAGACGGATTTGCTGCTTTTGGAAAGTTTGGGAAGAAATTTTCATGTTGGCCAGTCATGTTAACTCCTTATAATCTTCCTCCCGACATGTGCATGAAAAGTCATTTCATCTTTTTAACTTTAATTTGTCCAGGTCCCTCGGATCCTAAAAAAAGGATAGACATCTATCTCCAACCCCTGATCGAGGAGATGAAAGAACTTTGGGCCATTGGGACACCAACTTATGATGTTTCGAGAGATCAGATGTTTATCATGAAAGCTGCCATCATTTGGACCATTAGCGACTTCCCTGCTTATGGTATGCTTTCAGGATGGAGCACACACGGTCTTATGGGATGTCCGATATGTATGGATCAATCAGAGGCCAATTGGCTCAAATTTAGCGGGAAACCAAGTTACTTTGATTGTCACCGCAAATTTCTGCCTATGAACCATCGATATCGAAAGGACAAGAAGTCTTTTATTGCCGGAAGAGTGGTACGAGATCCCCCTCCTCCGAGACTTACAGGTGAACAAGTTTTTAACCGGGTTCGACGTTTTCCTACGGCCGTGCAGCAACCTCACGGGGAGCCAAATGGGTATTGTGATACCCATAAGTGGACAAAGAGAAGTATATTTTGGGAGTTTCCGTATTGGAAGGACCTTCTCATTCGTAACAATTTAGATGTCATGCACGTTGAGAAGAACGTCTTTGACAATATATTTAACACGGTTATGGATTTTACCCACAAAACCAAAGATGGTCTTGCATCTAGAAAAGACATGACAATTTGGTGCGACAGACCCGAACTCGCCGTCGATCTAGAATACGTGGGTAAAAAAATTCCAAGAGCAGTCTACCAACTCACAGCCCCACAAAGGGAATCAATATTAGAGTGGCTTGTTTCTCTGAACTTTCCAGATGGCTATTGTTCTAACTTGTCAAGATGCGTGGACCTAGACAAACAAACAATGACGTCGAGCATGAAAACTCATGATGCTCATGTAATCATGCAACGACTTCTGCCGATTGCACTGAAAAAGATGTTTCCTGCAGACGTCTGGGGCTGTATTACCGAAATCAGTCAATTGTTTCAGTCGATATGTTCCGCCGTTTTGGATGCCGAATCCCTGAGGAGACTAGAAGACACTGTTCCTATTCTGATGTGTAATCTGGAAAAGATACTGCCCCCATCATTTTTTGATGTAATGGAACATCTTCTAATACATCTTCCGTATGAGGCTTTGAATGGAGGGCCCGTCTTCTATCGTTGGATGTACGGATTTGAAAGGTTAGTCATAATTTCATTTATAAACCATGATTTGTTTAATAAGAACATTTGTTTGTTTACAAATTTTATTTTGCATGACAGATTTCTGGGAGATTTGAAAAAGAAAGCGACCAACAAGGCACACATTGAGGCTTCAATTTGTCAAGCATATATTCAACAAGAAACCTCAACGTTTTCATCTTTTTATTTTGAGCGTGAAGTAATCAGTAAAAGAAAGAGACCTGCTCGGAACGATGACATTGGCGAGGATTCATATGATAAAGTAGTTTCTATTTTCAACTACCCAGGTAGAGGTAAAGGAGCTGCGACTTACCGTTACATCGTGGGCGGAGAAATGAAAATTGGACATACTTACATCCTCATGAATTGTCCAGAAATCTTACCATTTTATAAGTAAGTTGAATTGGTAGTTACATTTGTAATATAGCTAATTTTTTTTAATAATTAGAGTGTTATAATAATATCTTTATGTTCAATTCACAGTGAATTTAGAGCGTCTTTATCAGCATTTCCTGATGATGCAATTGATGCAATGGTGGACTCTGACTTTGCATTATGGTACCAACAGCAGGTATTATATATATATATATAAATACATTATATATACTATTAGCTAGTAATTTTTAATCATTACCTAATGTTATCATGTTTTAATTTGCAGATCAGGTACCGTGGGATTAACGACCCTCTGTTAGTATCCTTATCGTGGGGCCCTTCTTCCTATGCAAAGGTTTGGCATTCATATGTGATAAACGGTTATACGTATCACACAGTTGAATATGGAGAAGGTCGACCAACAATGAACAGCGGGTTACGTGTCCCGACCATCGGTTCTGATAACTCGGAAACCAATTTTTTTGGTTTCTTGCATGAGATTCTCGAACTTCAAATGCCTTCTGGTTTGCAAGAATTAACATGCGTGTTGTTTCGCTGCACATGGGTCGACCCTACACGTGGTGTGAGAAAAAATTCAAAATATAATATAATTGACGTCAACCACTCTCGTGTGTATCAGAAAAATGAGCCATTTATACTCGCTCAACAAGCAGCCCAGGTTTATTATGCAGAGTATCCTTCAACGAGGCGCACACGGAATCCTTGGGTGTGTGCCATTAATATCCGTCCGAGCAAAATTGTAACACAGGCTCAACAAAGGGATATTGACTTTGATGCTTTTCAGCAAGATTTTTTCCACCCTCCGCCTATTGCTGATACGGTCAACCATAACATTCAGTTAAGTGACCCAAATGGCGGAGATGTTGAAGTTATGCCTGAAACACACCTTCCGCCCCCTATACCTCAAAATGAGCGCGAAATTGAAGAATTATATATACAACAACTGCACGATGACCAGGAGGAAGAAGAAGAATGGATATCTGGTGATGAAGATACAGAAGAAGAAGTTGCCTATCAAGAAAATACTGATTCTGATAGCGATTAAATGTATACTTAACAACCAATGTAATTACTTTTAATTGAACTATTTTAATTTGAATTTTTAACTTTCTTTCGTCATTATTATATTATTCCAAGATATAATAGTTAGGTATGTAATTCGCAACTATCATTTCTAAACAAAATAATTATTACATATTATATTGTAAAATAGCGATTAATTAATTAATAAAATTAAGTTTTTAAAATTATTCAATTGAAAATTAGTGGTTCATTATTATCGATTCGTAAATTTAAAATTAATTAGGTAATTTCGAAAATCGAAAATTAAATAATTCGAAATTTAACATTATTTAAAATTCGGAAATTAGTTTTTTAACATTATTTGTTATTAGTTTTTTAACATTACAAAATTTTAATAATTCGAAATTTAATAAACAAGAACATGAATTTATTTATTAAATTTAAAAACTAAGTAGAAAACACACAATTTTATCATTTATTACATTTAACAACTCACAATACAGATAAACAAATAAACACAATATTATTCATTAGCGTCAAAACTTTCATCTAGAGGCCTATTAAGTAGCTCGTTAATTCTTTCTGCAGCTTCCACGTTTATAGGTATCATATACTCCGAACATTGTTCTGCACGTAAAAGTGCCCTACGCAAGTTTTTCCCTCGTGAAACGTTGTATGAGTCTGATTCATAGTCTATAATATCGCCAAAGTTTTCAAGCGGTCTACTCATCAGCTCACGGATGCTTTGAACTGCTTCTGCATTTCGAGGCTTCATCAACTGTGTAACTTGTTTTAATCTTTGTACACTTCTACTGATCAACTTCCACACATCTGGTTCTGGATTAGCCATTTTTTCGCACCGGAAAAATGGGACTCTAAGCACATATTTATACTTAAATTTGTCACGGATAGGTCCGTGACAATTAAAGTAACTGATTAAGGCTGAAAAAGCTTTAATATTCCCTGCACCGGTTTGTCACGGATTCATCCGTGACAAATCCGTGACAAAATTCAAAAATTTGAATGTTGTCACGGATTTGTCACGGATGAATCCGTGACAAACCGGTCAACCTGCCGTTCTGACGCCTCGTCTGCCGTTCCCTGCCGCCTCGACTGCTGTTCCGCAGTTTACAAGTTCCGATAACTTTGTCACGGATTAATCCGTGACAAATTTCAAATTTAAAAATCCGTAATTAATTTCTCACGGGCTTTGTCACGGACGGGTCCGTGACAACCTCTAATATATAAACGACACTTAGTTTTTTTTTCTCTTACGCTTCCCAATTCCTTCAGCAACCCTAAACGCCTCCCACTACTCCCTTACGCCTTCCGACACCCGCCCACCGCCACCCTCCGAAACGCCTCCCACTCCGCCGCCCTGCTGCCTCTCTTACACCCGCCGACCGCCACCCTCCCAAACGCCTCCCACTCCGCCGCCCTTCTGCCTCTCTTACACCCGCTGACCGCCGCCGCACACCTCTCACCGGCCACCGCGGATTATCTCCACCCCTGCCGCCGTTCTTCGAAGCCGGCCTTCTCTTCTTTCCCTTTCATTTCTTGCCTTCTTCTCCGAGGTTATGTTTCTAACTCTTTAATTTCCGAATATTTTAGAATAAATGTTTTAAAATGCCAAAAAGTAAATGCATGTTTTTCTTAATATTCTTTAATTGTTTAATTTAATGTGTATATGTTAATAAGTTATCATGCATTGAATATGTGTATATGTTTAATGTTTACATGTTTCCGAATATTAATATGCATGCTCGAAATTTTATGGCATGTTTTTAATTATTTAATGCATGTTTTTCTTAATATCCATGCATGTTTCTATGTTTTTCATAATATTCATATGCATGCTCGTAAATTTATTTATTTAATGCATGTTTTTCTTAATATGATTTTAATGTTTATATGTTTCTGAATATTCATATGCATGCTCGTAATTTTATTGCATTTTTTAGTTATAGTCGGATTACACGGATATAATGCATGTTTTCCGAATATTCATATCCGAATAGTCGTAATTTCCATATAAGGCATGTTTTTCTTAATATTCATGCATGTTTAAATGTTCTTCTTCATATTCATATGTGAGGTTAGATTTAACGTTTCATAATGTGTATCATTTGTGTATAGGCTTTAAATATGCCTTAGATATTGTTAATTTAAGAATGCCTGCTTTAGAATAGTTAATTATTAAATTTTCAGTCAAGGTTATTTTGAGTTTTTGTTAATTTCGGATATTTATTAAGACTAATAATTTCAACTCCATTAATTTTCGCCCCCTCATGTTACACTTTCAAAAAAGTTAACATGTCTAACCCAACAAAATAATGAAACTGTTAATTATTTTTTTTATAATATTTCGGATATTATATTATTTTTTTAATATTATAAAACACATTAAAATTTTTTGGATCATTTAACTGATTTTTAAATAATTTCGGATATTATAATATTTTATTTTAAATAAAACGTTGTTTCATAAATAACATAAAACAGAAATGAAGTAAAAAAATGTATTTTATATATTAAAATAGAAATAAAAAACCAAACAAACTGTTTTTGTTTATATAATACGAAAATGATTTCATATGTTTCATGAAAAATTGATTTTATGGGTTTCATGAATAAAGAAAAAATGAAACTGATTTTTAAATTTTTTTTGAAAAAATTGATTTTATAGATTTTAAAAATCAGGTCACTGTTTTTTTATAAATTAATACCATACCCAATTAAATTCCATAACATAAAAATCATACAAAAAACTCATTCTACCCCTCATATTAAACTCAAGTTTAATATGTTCTATATTTCAAAGATTGATAAACACGTAACACAATTAAATTCAATAACATAAAAATCATACAAAAAACTCATTCTACCCCTCATATTAAACTCAAGTTTAATATGTTCTATATTTCAAAGTTTGATGAATAAATAGGAAACTAATAAGTTTAAACCATTGATACCACACAAAAACTTCATAAACTGATTTTAGAAAACTGTTTTTTATAAATAATACCAAATACAAGATGTAATAAATTGTATTTTTCTAAATTAATGCAAAAAACTGATTTTCGATGATTTATAATTTAATAGGGAAAAACTGATTTTATTAGTTTAAATTAAAAAGTTTGATCAATTGATTTTATATAAGGTTTCATAAAAAATATACACAACACAAGTTACCTCCATAACATAAAAATCATCCAAAAAACTTGTTCGACCCCTCATATTAAACTCAAGTTTAATATGTTATATTTATCAAAGTTTCATACCACACAAAAACACCATAAAATAATACCTAACATCATGAAATTCAATAACATAAAAATCATACAAAAAACACATTCTACCCCTCATATTAAACTCAAGTTTAATGTGTCTCATATTAAACACCGGTTTAATATGTTCTATATATTATTTCTCAATAATTTTAGATGAGTGAGCACGAACGCCGCCTTTCCACCATTGCTCGTCGTGGGCGTCAGAATTCACGACGGGCCTCAAATGCTGATCGTGATATCAATGATGATATCAATCCCGACGAAGGACAAGCTCTTGACGGACATGTCCAAACTCCTCCCTCCGAACAATCAGACGCTCATATAAGCGTGCATGGGGAGGGGGCATCATCTCATGCACCTCCTTCATCTCGTGCAATATATGCCCCCCCCCCCCCCCCCCCCCCACTCAAGAAGAGCGCCACAATCCCGGTTCGCTTGAGGTGACACCTCAATCGATCCATAGGTAATAAAATACTAACATTCTGTAATATAAGATAGTATAATCTCTTTATCTAAGAATTAATACAATTGTTTTTATCAATTATCAATTTTTTGAAGCGATTCCGAGGTCTTGAATAGAATCAAGGCTATCGTTTGTGGTCATTTCACCGGGCCGTGGTCGACTTACGGTGAGGTTCCGGCGGCCACTCGTGAACTACGGTGGCGGTTGTTCAAGGTAAAAATAAATATTTTAGCTACATTTTAGTAACTTAAATTTAAGAAATGATGATATATCAATGTTTTTCATGAAGGCTTCCCATCGTTGGCATTTTGCCCTAGACCAAGCGATTCTCAAAGAATACAATTCTAGGATTTCTGGGTGGTTGAGACCCACTTTTAGGACCGCCCGGTCTACGGGTAAAAAGCCAAAGTTCCTTGGCGATGATGTGTGGGAGATGCTGTGCCGCCACTGGGCTACGGATGCCTCATTTTTGCTGAGAAGCGAAATGGGTAAGGCAAACCGGGCTTCCGATAAAGCCAAGGAAGTTCAATGGCACGGGGGCCGCAAACCCCAAAGTCAACATAAAAAAGATCTGGTAAACTCTATTCAGTTAAAATTATTTCCATTCCATACCATTATGTATATATATATTTTTATTAACTTTGAAATCCGTGTAGGAAGGATCTGGACCCGTGCCAAAACGGGTCACGCCATTGAAACTCATGGCACATTGCTGGACTAAGAAGGGTTCCATGCCACCTCCCCGCCTTTCTGAAATTGAAGTAAATAATGAAACATAATTCAATAAATTTCGATTTTTTTAGATCTCTTATATAATAAATTTTTGAACTTGTAGAAAAAATATGAGGAAGAGCGGGGTAAGAGAGTTGATGAGCTAAATGCGTATTTTCAACGCCACCTACCGTCCATCCATGCACATACAGCACCCCGAGATGACCCCACAAGTTCCCTTCGCGGGCAATATGGGCAATATGGGCAGTATGGGTAGTAGGGGTTTTGCTAATTATAGCCACATCTCCAACAACTTTCCATATGGATATTATGACGATATCCCGACTACCGGAGCTCAAGCTTACCGTGGCAGCAGCCGTGCTGGCAGCCGCAGTGGCAGTCGAGGCGGTCATCGTGGTGGCAGCCGTGGCCACGGAAGGCAACCCGATCATCGTGACGAACCTGATGATGCTGATGCTGATGCTGATTATGATGACCATTGATGGTTTGTAATAATTAGTTTATTAACATTTTAAGGATTTTAAAATTTTGATGTGTTAATGTATGAATATTAATGTGTAATGGTTTGATTGTGTTTAAATAATAGTTTATTTGTGTTTTATAATGATGGTTTGATTAGATTATTATTTATTATGATACCTAATGTGTAATGGTGATTAATGGTGATTTATTATGATGGTGTTTTGTAATAGTTGATTGTGATTATTATTATAAACAATTATTTATTATGATTATTGTTTAACTATTTATTATTAAGTTTAATTTTTGAAAAAGCGCCTAAATTTTAATGGTTTTTTTTATTAAATAAACTTTTGAAATAAACTTTTAAAAATGCGCTGAATTTTTAAATTTTTTTTTAAAAAATTTAAACTTTTGTCACGGACTGTTCCGTGACAAAATATAAATTCACGCTAAATTAACGTATTTTTTTTTAAAAAAAAATGTTTTGTCACGGATGGGATCCGTGACAAATTCAAAATTTTGAATTTTTTTGAAAATTTTAAAGCTCCCGCTCACTCTATTTTAAAATTTTCAAATTTTTTTCAAAATATTTTGTCACGGATATGTCCGTGACAAAATTTAAAATTTGAATTTTCCGGACCGTTTCAAATACCCGCCCACTCTATTTTGAAAAACCTTTTTAAAATTTGTCACGGATAATTCCGTGACAAGTAATAATTTTTTTTTTTGAAAAATAAAAACATTTATTCACGGATGCGTCCGTGACAAATGAAAGGCGATGAGATTCCGGTGAAGTGTTTTGTCACGGACCGTGGCCGTGACAAATCCGTGACAAACATTCTCACGGATTAATTTCCGTGACGAAAACGTTATCACGCCCATGGTGTCACGGATGGGATCCGTGACAAATCCGTGACAAAAAATCATTTGTCACGGATTTTTTGAACTGCCGTCCGTGACAAAGTCCGTGACAAACGACGTGTTTTTTTGTAGTGTGTAAACAGTTCACGGTATACCAAAGAGGGTTTCACCGATCATCTGCTTCATATCATTATCTGATCCCTTGTATGTATTACTGTAATATCATATCATTGCTGTTTAATATTTATCTCTGAATCAGGGACCAACACTCACTAGTACAAAAAAGGCTTTTCACATCGGTCAAAAAAAGCTTTTCACATCGGTCAAACAGCCGATGTGGTTCCAGCACATGTGAAAAGTATTGACTTTTGACATCGGTCAAACAGCCGATGTGAAAAGTCTTTCTACATCGGTCGTTTAGTGCCCGATCTAGAAGATAATCCGAAACGGCGTTTTTAATGATATTTCACATCGGTTATAACACATGTAGAAAAGAAACCACATCGGTTATTTTACAACTGATGTAGAAACCACATCGGTTATTTCACAACTGATGTGAAAAGCTTCATTTTTTTGGAACATGTGTGTTTCACATCGGTTATAACCCATGTAGAAAAGCAATCATATCTGTTATTTCACAATTGATGTGAAAAGCTTCAATTTTTCAGTATTTTTCACGAAAAAAATTGCAATATGACCCCTGTTTATACTATAATCACATCATTAACAGTATCATCAACTACTATAGCACAATTTTTCACTTGTTCACTTGATCCGACTAAAACAATAACACAAACTATTTTTCAATTCTTCCACAAATATTAAACAAGTTCAAGTAACAACTTAGTACATAATAATAAGCTAAAATAAAATAATCCATGCACAAGTCTAGAGTAATAACCCATTGTATAAAGTTACAAGTCTCATCATCACTCAAAAACTTAAACAAACACGTTCATCATGTGTCGTTGATGGATTGCGTCATTTCTAAGAAATATGATGCCCAACGAGTTCGTACTTCATCAATCTCTTCTGATGAGAATGGTTCCGGATTGGCGAATCGCTACAAATTAAATAAGAAGGTTATTAAAAAACATTACATGTGGAGCAAATCTATTGAATGTAAATAAAATAATAACGTACCTCATCCCACATTTCAAGAATTACCGCCGAAACAATATTCAACATATGCAACATCACATAATAACCACATTCATAACCCCCAACTTACATCCGAGACTAAAAATTAGAACAACATAATTACTAATCAGAAATTACGGTATTCGACTTGGTGCTACACAAATGAAAGTAAAAATAACATACAAAGTAAAGTAGTAAGTATTTACCATAGGAATAATCCATTTCACTCTTCCCTTTCTTGAATTGAGCCTACGGCTTGCCTCCATTGCACTATGTCATTTATAATAATAAATATATATATAATAATAAATTATTTATGTAATTAAGATATACAATATATATTTAAAAATTAAATAAAATAGAATGTACAAAATACTTACGCATCAATAATCTTTTTGAATTGTCTATTTGGCTTATTCCCCAAAGAACACAAGAAGACAATAGTGTTTTGGACAAGAGAGAGGATAAAGAGCTGCCAATGATTCCTGTATACATAAAAAAAAGGATAAACGACAAACAATAATTTTTAAAAAAATAATACATAAAAAAAATTATCTTCAACAAGGAGCCAAATATGTGTTCTAGTAACTTTGAAAAACAATTAGCCCATATCTTTAATAGTCCTCAGCCCATGAAAACAATAGGGTAAAGAAAGTTAAACCTACGTAAAACTAAGACTGTAAGTACATAAAAACGTAAACTTGCGTAAGACACTACAAAGCTTAATCGCTAGCCATCCTCTTCACTCTCCTCGCTTTCCTCACTCAACACTCAAGCTGCATATTAGTATCATAGTACTCTGCTTCGTGATTTTTAGTATATTAGTATGCATATAATACTCAGTCTCATAGTACTCTGCTTTGTGACTTTTTGACAGTCAAATATGTTCTCTAATATGTCACACTTTGGAATCTTAAATGAGCCAAACTGGAATCTCATTTTCTAGCTACTATTGGGTATTGCCCTTCTCTGTCTTTAAATGATCTATAGTTCTATCGTATTTCATGTGTTTCTTGCATTACTTTATCTCGAGTGTGGTAAACTTCATTGTTTCCTTGACAAATGCCTTGGCGCTATGAGGGTTGGTAAACAAGGATACTCCTACATTGACTAAGTAATATAAACAAACATAAAAGTTAGAATGATTTGCAACAAGATGGTTCCTTTGCTTCAAAATACTTCAATATTTAATATTCAGAATACTTCAATACTTTATTTAAATCAGTAATAACATTTAAGAGTAACTCATTGAGCACCACTCGCTTACATGGTGATCCACCTAAATCATCATCATAAAAATAAAACTATTTTGCAGAAAAAATCTAATGTCACTAATTGACTTAGAGTTAACAATACATAGATTACACTCCACATACATGTAGCCACATGTTAAGTTCCAAGAAATAATAATCCCCATGCCAGTACCATGTTATAGATATATTCAACAGTGGCAGCTCCAACTTAATTGGTGTTTTTTGCATATCTTCTAGCAGCATGCTCAAGCTTTTTCACCATCTTTAAAGGAGCAACAATTATTGCCTCCTCCTCAGTAATCTAATATACACGAAACACGGAGTTTCATCTGAATGGAGACGGTGGGAAATGGGAAGAGTAATGAAACAAAGACATTCTTACATTGCTAAGTACTATAAACAAACACAAAAGTTACATTTCTAATTAAATTTTGTAACCTTTCAAGTCGGTAAAGTTCTTAAGAATTTTTAATAAATATGGTCGAGTATATTTTTGCTTTCAAGCCAGTATGCAAAGGGTAAATTGTTTTGAGAAAATACAGGTGATGTTGCAGTATTACAGATTGATACAGACGGAGTACTAGAAAATCATAGGCGTGGTCTGGCTAAAAAATGAGAGTGAAGAATTTTGCATGTCAGTTTGCTTATTTGCAATCTTCATATCTGTAAATTAATTGAAAATTGAAGATATAGATGTGAAACTGAGCCCGTATTAGTAGATGTTATATTTCCATTGCAATTAGAGGTTGAAGATTGATAGTCAGTGAAAAATGCGGAGGAATTCAAGCGCTAATGGTAACAGGTGACCTATGGCGGCAGGTCCTCATATCTTGCTTGGGACACCACCACAGTCCACTACTTGAGTACCGGCAGCCTTAACAAGAGTGTGACGGCGGTGAAAATATTTATACAAAGACGATTTGCCCTAGCCGGAGAAAGAAAAGTGAGGGAGAAGGCATAAGAATGAGAGAGGAGCTTTCTGCGTAATCCATGAACAGACAGATGAAGGATAAATGAGGAAAATAAAATTAAAATTCCACACACTTGACACGTGTGAAATTGAAACCGGAAACTCGGAAACAACCGGCTAGTAATGACAATTGACTTTTTTCCATGAGTTGAAGGGTTCAATTGAGTGCTTTCTAAGTATGAGGGCTTAATCGACGGATTCGATATAGTAGGAGGTCATATTTGATAGTTTTCCCTCATATCTTTCATAGAGCACTGGCAGTGTGTGGGCCCCAACAAAACCAATGTACACAACAGTCAGAAAGTTGCACCAGCTTCCAATGATAGCAGCTGCCAGCAAGCTTGTCACAGCAACTAGGAAGTGCTTGGGAGTTCCACCACAGGCGACGTTTTGAAGGAAGCCCAAACCACGGTTGACTTCAGCCCCTACGGTCTTTGCTATGCCGACAAACACTTCTTTTAGCAAAACAATACGTGGAACTTGTGATGGAGACCTGGTCACCAGGCCTGAAGTATGAGTCCAGAGAAACTGTATAAACATTCCTAGAATCAAAGCAAAGCAAACAAATGTAAGGAGGTGATAGTCAAGCCATTCAAACAACATCCACATAATTGTAGCAGAAGCCAAAACACTGGCTGAGATTTTCTTGTTCCTCCATAGTAGCACATCAGCCAATTTGCCTCCCCCAAGAACATGGTGTACAGGCTTCTGTCGCCCAAACAGCCTATTCAATTTATCACTAACAGCTCTTGATTTGTCCTCTTCAAAGAATGCACCAGATCTTGGCTTTGGTACACTATCTGAAATTGTTTCCATGATGTTGTTTAACAGTTTCTCAGCTGTTATTCCTTCTGGAATTTTTCCCAGGAAACAAAGGCGATGATTGCAGGCAAGAGAGAAGGTAAAGCAGAGAGGGTGGGAAGAAGGAAGATTAGGTATTGAAGGAGGGTGTTCGAGCTTAATAGTCTACAAAAAGAATCTGAAATTGAAAAACGATTATACTAGTCACAAAGCAAAATTCTATGGTTCGAAACTAATGAGGAAAGAAGGTTAAAACATACTGGTAATCGCTGTAGAGGAATAGGTCATTTCTCCTGCCGCTCGAAGTCTGTCCAAACTGCTCTTCCGTCTTCTTTCCGTCGCGAACTGCTCTTCCGTCTTCTTTCCGTCGCGAACTGCTCTTCCGTCTTCTTTCTGTCGTTGAACTGCTCTTCCGTCTTCTTTCCATCGCGAACTCACCGTCCGTATTGAACTCCAGCCGTAGTGATTCCGCCGTTCGTATTGAACTCCTTCCGCTCGCCGTCTCTCTGTCTTCTTTCCTTCGCGTCGCTCTAGGTTTGGGCTAAAATCAGGCGCTATCAAAGCCGGGAACCAAAGACGTTTAGGATCGATTCCTTATTCCCCAAAGGGTGTTTCATTTCTTCGGCATCGGTTGGTTTTAACCAATATAAAATAAAGTTTCGATAATTATGAAAATTACCCCGTTTTTCTTTTCACATCGGTTCCAAATATAACCGACTTAGAATATTTTGTAAAATTTTAAAAAGTACCCTGATTTGCTATTTAACATGGGTTATAACAACAACCCATCTAAAAAAGTTTACAAAAATTATTAAAATGACCCCGTGTTAGTATTCTATATGGGTTTTAAAATAACACATGTAGATAAGGTGATGTAAAAAGGCTTTTTTGTACTAGTGACTATTTTTTGCTGAATTTTTTTGTCTATGTTATTCATCAAGTCTAGTTCATCCATACCAAATTTGAGCAAAAATTTCAATCGGTAAGCTTTGAAATATACATATAAAATACAGTTATCTTTCAAAAATCATTTGACAATTTTCGCGATTGAATTTTTTGCTCAAATTTGGTATGGATGAAATAGACTTGATGAAGAACGTACACAACAAATTTCAGCAAAAAATACCAGCAGGAGCCACCTCAAATTGAGGTGGCCGGACCACCCGCCGGACAGGAATATTTGTAATATAAAATACCAATGTTTTCTTTTAGGGCTAGTTGTATGACAAACATGTAAATACACCCCTCAACTCCTTGAAAATCATGTCCTTTTTTACCTGTTGGTGCATGTGAGAGGATGAGAAAGTACTGACACCTGCAGGTAAAAAGGACCTGATTGCTTAATTTTCAACAAGTTGAGGGGTGTATTCGCAAGTCTTCCGGCTCAGGGGCCCAAGTGCAGAATTGCAAATAGTTTGAGGGCTTATTTGTCTGTTTTCTCCTATTTGTATTAATGTTGGTATTTTTCCTCATAAAAGAACCTTTTAATGAGAGTAAACTCACTCGCATAACATATTTATTAATGACGGTATCATATACCCGTCATTATTTACTTTTAACTGCGGAAGCTGTAGTGAAGGGAGGTGACAAGAGATTTCCCCTCATTAATACTCTTTTATGATAGTTTTCTAGTTTTTAACTATGGTATCTCCCGTCACAATTGAACATTTTTCTTGTAGTGATAAATGGTGTATGTGTTGGTGCAGGAATTTGACAGCTTGTTCTACATTCAAGAGGCTTGACAATGGCAATTAATGACACATTCATTAGGTTTAATGCTAGCTAATTATTATAACGGTTTTTGTGTGTATTATTATAGCCATTATTTTAATTAAAGCAGGAGTTACTCAAATAGTTGACCGATATTAATGACGACATCATGACGACTTTGAATGTCATCAAAACGGTCAAAACCGTCAACAACGGACAAAAAGATATTAATTACCCCTACTATAAGTAGAATATCGAGCTCAGTTGTAAGAGGGGGCACCTCATTCAAATATTACATCAATTTACATTCTATTTTGCTCACTTGACATCCTTCTTGTTGTTCCTATCATTTTCCTTACCGTTCTTGTACGAAACCCAATCAATATACAATCTCTATTCTAATTAGTTTTAGTTTATCAAAAATTGGCTAAAACAATTTGGCGCCGTCTGTGACAAAACGTGCAAGAAATATATTCTCCATGGAAGAAACGAGCAATGACGTGATGGCCGAAATCCATAAGCAATGACGTGATGGCCCACGTCGGGAGCGGGGACAACCCTTTATTTCCGGGACCACATATTATATTCATATTGGTCTAGATAATATGTATATGGTGGTGGATATTCTAGTTGGGCCATTGACAGGGCTTAAGGTTGACCGATTGGTCAAACGAGGCCCAATTGCCGGTATTGGTAATTTATCGGATAACAGTCTGAAACGAATTTCGGAGACTTCTAAATTAAAGTTGCGGAATCTATATTCATTCTAAGGCCCATAGTTGTTGAGAAATACAACTTTCGGGGCCAATTGTACACTTCGGGACAAATTAGGATGACCTCCCACATGAGTGGGGGCCACACCACGTTTTTGAGTCTCAAATTGGACATGATGTGGCCGCACAAAATGTAGAGGGGTGGGTTGATGTTGAAGGAATTGGTATCAAATGAGGAGTGGACCTCACTCACTCCCATTATTGTCAAGTAAGACAAAGAAAGGACATCCCTACCTCTTGCATCCATAATTTCCACCAAGCTCTAAAACAGAGGGGGAAAAACCTCTGCAAACTACTTCCTCCATAGCCAAGGACATAGCTCAATCTCAAGGAGGTCCAAGGAGAAAGTTTAAAGAACGAAAAGAGAGGAAAAGTGTGGTAGATTAAGGTAATGACCTTATAACAACTTTTTCTTTATTCCTTAGCACCCATATGACTTTTATAGCATGTGAGGAACCCATAGGATTGTTATACATGTTTAGAAGTGTTGAAAGATGGGTTGGAAGGTAGTTCTAAGTCCAAGAACTGACTTAGAAGCCAAAGTGACCGGTTCACCGGAAAATAACCTTTTAGAGGTTATTTGTATTAATTTGAGTTTTATGATGATAAAACCTTGTTAGGCACTTGTCTAAGGAGTTCCTAGCTCTTTCAAGGAGTTGAAAGAGTTGCCGGAGTTGTCGCCGGGGTTCAACAAGGTTAGTCGGAGTTTCGCTGAAGTTCAACCGGGAAGGGTAGAACTTCTGAAAGCTTATTCAAGATGAGTGGATGGCTTCATGACTTGTAACTCTTGCGTTGAGTATGAGATTACCTAAGGAAATGCTATGTGTTCATAATGATGTTTAAAATGGTTTAAGCATGTGATTAACCAAGATGATTAGGCTTATGTGAAGTGAACCATAAAGATTATGCATGAGAAATGATATGAAAATGATATAAAAACATGTGTGATGTTTTGGATGGCCAAAATGAAAAATATTGATTGTTTAAGACTTAATTCATGTTTGGGTTAAGTTTCGGATCAATCGGAGTTGGTTCGGGCGGTCAACGGGCCGTTGACCGCAAAGAAGAAAGTGGACAGGCGCCGGTTTAGGCTATAACCGGCGCCGGTTTGAGTACGCGACATTCAAATAAATGAATTTAAATGTGAACCGGCGCCGGTTTAGACTATAACCAGCGCCGATTAGGCGCTGCTTGTCCCGAATGATGATTTTTCGTGCATGGTTTTGCATAGATTGTTATGCTTAGGCTATAAGACTTGGTTTAGTCTTGATAAATGATTATGATGTAGACCCTATCTATGTATGATATGTGGTAGATTATAGGAACAAATGTATAAATGGTGGAGACACAGGGGTCACGGTACTGTCCTCAAAGCTCAAATGTATAAACGGTGGAGACCTAGGGACAATGGTATTGTCCTCAAGCCTCAAATGTATAAACGATGGAGACCCAGGGGCGACGGTATTATCCTCAAACCTCAAATGTATAAAAGGTGGAGACCCAGGGGCAACAGTACTGTGCTCAAACCTCAAATATATAAATGGTGGAGACCCAGGGGCGATGGTACTATCCTCAAACCTGAAATATATAAACGGTGGAGACCCAGGGGCGACGGTACTGTCCTCAAACCTCAAATGTATAAACGGTGGAGACCCAGGGGCGACAGTACTGTCCTCAAACCTCAAGTGTATAAACGGATGAGACCCAGAGACGACGATACTGTCCTCAAACCTCAAATGTATAAACGGTGGAGACCCAGGGACGACGGTACTGTCCTCAAAACTCATATGTATAAATGGTAAAGAATCCAAGGACGACGGTACTATCCTCAAACTCGTATGAATAAGATGATTTTGACCAGGAGGAGTCCTATACACTCATAGGATATGGGTGGGTTGGGATTTAAGTTAGGGATATTGGCTACTAAGATGTTCCCAAATAAACAATGACCTATGGGTCAGGTATTTCCAAGTGAATATATACTTATATGCCTTTCATAACTTGGGGGGGGGGGGGGGGGGAGAGTACTATACGTGTATGTATCACCCTATGTTTGGGTCTTATACTTGAAACGTTAGTTATGCTACATTTAGCTTGCTACTCGCTCGGTAATTGTACTGATCCTATCAGGAGGCCCACCATTTTCAGGTTGAAGCTAAAGCTTATTATCCGCATCTTGTTCGGCGGAGTGATCTAAAGGAAGACGTGGTTCGTGCTTCCTTTATTGTTTAAAACTACAAACTATGCTCATGGATATTTAATATGATGTACACATTGTTTTGGGCCTGCGAGCCCACGTTTCTGCCATGTGTGGCCCACGATTGATCACTAAATATTTCCGCTATTCGATTAATCTAAACCGTGATGTTGTTATGTATGTTTACTACCGAGTATGGATGGATTATGTTCATGGACGCCTTGTATGATTAAGTAACATTGACTTGCAAGTGATGTCACTTGGTCATACGGCGGTTGTACACGTGCTTAGATGCGGTCTGGAACGTGACAAGAAATCCGGCATGAAGTGGCGGAACAAATAACTCACCTCCAGCGGGAAAACAACGTACTACTATCCCAGCTGCAATCGGTGGTATCCATAGCCCCTAATTCAAGAAACAATCGAAGGAGCAACGCTATGACTGCTGCTACTAGGCTGGACCTAGGCTTCACCACGGCTCCAACGGAACCATTCATTCCTCGCTCGGGGAACGAGATGTCTGGAGAACCGAGACCGTCAAATTGATCAGTTCCCCTTCCAAATCGTAGACGGAATGTGTTTCACAACCTGTTTGCAGAACCCCAAAGGCGATGAGTTCCAGAACATGTCGACATCTCTAGACATGTCGACTTCTCTAGGCAGAGGCAGCAGGAACCTGAAGTCATTGTCATCCCATCGCCAACCAGACATGAGGCGACCCAAGTGGTTACACCACATGCCCCGACCATGAGACAAACGGAGGCAAATCTGACGGATCCCAAGTCCGTCATCTTAGAACAGCTGAAGGAGATGGGAGATAAAATCAATGACATTCCGGGAGTACCGCCACCATTGAATATTGCTTCACACACGTGTTACACAGACTCTCCCTTTGGACGACATATCACTGACGTCAAGATCCCAAGGAAGTCTGTTGCCCCATCAATGAAGTTGTTTGATGGAACTTCCGATCCCTTGGAAAACATTGCACAGTACAAGCAGCAGATGTTGGCCATTTCAGTCAGGCCAGAGCAACGGGAAGCTTGCCTATGTAGAGCATTCGGGACAACATTAACGGGACCAACGTTGACATGGCTCGTCAATTTGCCCAATGAAGGAATCAACTCATTCGCAGAACTCATCAACCTATTCAACCAACAATTCACAAGCAGTTGGGTCCTCAAAAAACAGACCAGTGACCTTTACCGAGTAAAGCAACGACGGAGTGAATCTTTGAGAGATTATTTGCACCGATTCAATAAGGAAAATGTGTTGATCCGAAAATTTGACGTCTTTACCACCATTGAAGCATTCAGAAGAGGTTTGTATGAAGATTCGGAGTTGTACCATGAACTGACGAAATACCCTTGTGGGTCCTTCGATGATGTCCAAGCAAAGGCGTCCACTTTCATCCGTGTAGAAGAAGACTTACGATCCCGTCGAAGACAAATTGAGTGCGAAGGGGTCATGGGAAATCAAAATCTCCCAGGAGGCATGATTACAAGCATGGAAAACCATATTCAAGACCTGGGGAACGAGTCGTCACTTCTGTGACGAGATAGATCAGACGACATGATCGAAGTCGTCGGACGGGGGGCATGCTGTCCGATGATACATATGTTCTGAAGAGATGCAATACGGTACCCTTAAAGTTGTTTCATTTTTAGTTTTGTATTTTCTTTTACATGAGATAAACCGGACGACATGACTGAAATCGTCGGACAGGGGGGCATGTCGTCTGATAATAGACAAGTTGTGATCATAAATATTTCGCCAGTTTTGTGTACATACTTTTAATTTATTACTTTCATTTATCAATAAATGATCACTAACTTAAGCATTGGAGGGCCGTTGGCATCTAGCCAATGGCCGAAGTTAGCGAATTCTTTTTTACACAGGTACAACCAACAATTGACGATGACGGAATCCTAACATACAAAGCCTTACAACACGTCAAAAAACAATTGACGGGGGAGGGGGGCTTACATCAAATGTAGCCTTACAACACGTCAAAATTTAGGGGAAGAAGTAGGGGTTTTCATGTACGCTAAACATGAGTATAAACTCCACCGATTCTCCGCAATGTTTTGGCTAAAACGACGAAATTACACAACGGAAGCATGTGCTCCAAGAGCATGAAAACAAGGAGACAATATGAACGACATTGACACAAACCATAAATATTCATGTCCACAATGTTGCTAAAATCACTAACAAAACATTATTCATAGTTTTTTAAGGATATGGACCACGTTCACGCAACCTAACTCATCTTACTCAGTGACAAATGATGTTCCCTTTGTCGGCTGAAATGTCGACATCAACATAAAAAATGTTGCAAATTACTGACGCGATGTCGTCAGCACAATTTCGTAGGGAAGAAGACAAAGTGTCAGCTATCAGTCTTCATTATGTTAATCAAGGAGACAGATTCGATTAGAAGTTACTCGAAAGAAAGACGACAACATTTCGTTGGACAAATTGATCAATACGTCACGTCAAGTAAGTGATGAGCCAATAGGTGCAATGAACCAAGATGCGAAGTGATGTACTTTCAACTTTTCGACAAGTTGATGCTTAATAGGTCGCATGTGCATGGTACGCCTCAACTTCTCGAAAGGGAGCAATTGTTGGTGCATGAATTTGACAGCTTGTTCTACATTAAATAGGCTTGACCATGACAATTAATGACGCATTCATTATGTTTAATGCTACCTAATTATTATAACAGTTTTTGTGTGTATTATTATAGCCATTATTGTAATTAAAGCAGGAGATACTCAAATAGTTGACCGATATTAATGACGACATCATGACGGCTTTGAATGTCGTCATAACAATCGAAACCGTCAATCACGGACAAAAGGCATTAATTACCCCTCCTATAAGCAGAGTATCGAGCTCAATTGTGAGAGGGGGCACCTCATTCAAATTATACATCAATTTACATTCTATTTCGTTCACTTGACATCCTTTTTGTTGTTCTTGTCATTTTTCTTATCGTTCTTGTACGAAACTCGATCAATATACAATCTCTATTCTAATTAGTTTTAGTTTATCAAAATTTGGCCAAAACATTGGATTATTTATTTGTTACTCATTTGAATTTGCCTTAATACTTATGTTGTTAGGTTGGTCGTTGCCCTTTTAATGTCGAACAAAATTGTATTACATCTTGGTGTAAAAAGTATTTGAATTAATATTTATCATCTGTTTATGAATGGACCGAAGTGAATCAAAACTCATAAAGCTGATTCAATTAATGCTAATATTTTTTTTTGGTTTTTGGCTCTTTGTGTTTCACATTGTTGATTTTAATCGCAATATTTTGACTTTGTCATTACTAACATTGTAGCTGTTGGGCCAAGAAATAAATGAAGAAAGAAGTAAAGGTGGGCCCACGAGCTTAAGAAATACAAAGTCAAGGAGCACATGATAATAGGAGGCTTGGAGCGGAAGAATTGGAACAAAGTGGAACACCTAGCTAATTAACTGTCGAATTCCATGGATAGAGGCTGAATAGTCGGACTGTTAGCTGCTCAAGCGGAAATGATATGATCATCCGTATTATATATAGGAGGACCATCCCATCAACAAAAAAGACAACTCTAGCTAGTTTATTCCCATCATATTATTGTGGTTCATATTGAGAGCTTAATTATTATATTTTATTCCCACTATTGTGATTCGTGATAAGAGATTGATTATTATATTTTATTCACTAGTTCTTGTACGTTACCCATATCACTTTTTGAATTCATTTCGTATACAACAATTTGTAGAGTAGTCTTTTGGCTAAAACAATTGGCGCCGTCTGTGGGAAATCGTGCAAGAAATTTATTCTCCATGGAAGGAACGAGCAACGAGATGATGGCCGAGTTTCATAAGCAATTGGAGGCGATGAAGGAAGAAATCCGGTGTGAAATGGCTCAACAGATTACTTTTATCCAACGAGAAAATGACGTGTTGCGCTCTCAAGTGCAATCGGTGGCGTCCATAGCTTCCAACTCAAGATTTAGCCGAAGAGGTGATGCCATGACAGCAGCTACGAGGATTGTGTTCAGACGGATTTGCTCCATATGGATGGTTTGGGAAGAACTATTCATGTTGGCCGGTCATGTTAACTCCTTACAATCTCCCTCCCGACATGTGTATGAAAAGTCACTTTATCTTTTTGACTCTAATTTGTCCGGGTCCCAATGATTTAGGAAAAAAAATAGACATTTATCTCCAACCCCCTATCGAGGAGATGAAAGAACTTTGGGCCATTGGGACACCAACATATGATGTTTCAAGGGATCAAAATTTTATAATGAAAGCTGCCATCATTTGGACCATTAGCGACTTCCCTGCCTATGGCATGCTTGCTCAACAAGCAGCCCAGATTTATTATGCAGAATACCCTTCAACCAGGCGGACACAGAATCCATGGGTGTGTGCATGTACTGTCCGTCCGAGCAAAATTGTATCATAAACTCAACACAAGGACGTTGATTTAGATGCTTTTCAGCAACATTTTTTCCAACCTCCGCCGATTGTTGAGACGGTCAACCAGCACATTCAGCTAAGTGATCTAAATGGGGGAAGTGTTGAAGTCATGCCAGAAACGCACCTTCCGGACCTACCAACTCCATCTGAGCGCGAAATTGTCGAAATGCATGAAGAACAATAAAATGCTCATTATCAGGAAGAAGGAGAATGGATAGAAGGTTCTGATACAGAAGATGTTGTATATGTAGAAAATAATGAATCTGATAGTGACTAATTGTATTGTTGTATTACAATTTTTTTGAGTTCGAATATTTGTACTCTTTTCTTCATTATTATTGTAGTCCAACAATATTTGATTTTTTTCTTCATCATTATTAAAAGATTAGTACGAAACGCACAATTTTTTTATCACAATCAACTAACGAAACATTAATCATTCATCATAATAAGCAAACAAACTAATACAAAATTATTCATCAATATCAAAACTTTCAAGAGGCCTAGCCAACAACTCGTTAATTTTCCTTTCAGCTTCTTCGTTGATCGGATCCATATACTCTGAACATTCTTCTGCACGTTGAAGCATCCGACACAAGTTGTTTGCTTTTGACTTGCCGAGTGAGTCAGATTCCTCATCTTTATAGTCGCCAAAACTTTCAAGGGGTCTAGCCATCAATTCCCTGATTCTTTGGTATGCTTCAACGGTTTTCGGCTCCATAAGCTGTGTAATTAGCTTGAGTCGTTTCATAGCTTTGCACATCGAATCCCAGTCAATTGGTTCTCGATTAGCCATTTTTTTTCCACACAAACATTGGACCGGGCATTATCTATTTATACTCAAATATCGAATATAATAAAGTGGAATTTATTCCACTGTCGCCGGCCTGCCCGAGGAGTTGGCAGAACGGTTGGAAAGTAATTAGTCACGGACGGGTCCGTGACTAATTCAAAAATTTGAATTAGTCACGGACCTAGTCACGGACCCGTCCGTGACTAAGGCGGTCAAAGGCGGCCCTGACACCTCGTCTTCCGCGCGTCTGACTTCGTTATTTACGACGGCTAGTCACAGATATATCCGTGACTACGTCCGTGACTACGCCTTCATATAAATTCAACACTTAGCTAATTTTTCATTCCGCATGCTCTCCAACCCAAAACCCTAACTCTTTCTCCCTAACTCTTCTACACTCTGCCGATATCAACCTCCAACTCCGCCCTCCACCGTCCGCTGCCGCTGACCGCTGCCGCCGTTCGTTGCCGCCGTTCGCTGCCGCCGACTTCTGCCACTGTCGGTCGCTTCCTTCGTTTTTCATAAAGGTTATGTATTCTAAATTTTATTTACTTTTAATTCTTATTTTGAGTATTTGATTTTTATTTCAAAAAATGCATTTTACGATAAGTGTGTTCCCACTATTCTCAAATTGTGTAATATGATTTAGTTAATATGCTCAAATTGATTTATGTATATATAATTTGATTTCAGTACATGTTATAATTTGATTTTAGTTAATATCTCAAATTGATGCATGTGTAGTAATATGATTTCGAAATATAATTTCATTTAGTTTATAATATTGCTTTAATTTTAGAATTGAAATACATGTTAATATAATTCAGTTTTCGAAATACTTGTTTTCTGTACATGTTATTAAATTCATTTTTGCATACATATTATTAAGCACACGTTTTTTCGAAATACATGTTAATATAATTCAGTTTATTACATGTTCTATATGCTCAATATAACATAATTTAGTTTGTATATATGTTTAATTGGCATGCCTATATATATTTGTTGTGTATAAGTTTAATTAATATGTATGCCTAAATAAGATTTAATTGTAGGTTAAAGAACATGCATGATTAAACATTATCTTTTTGAATTTCGGACTTATGAATTAAAGAACATGAGTTAGTTTAATTAATATGTATGCCTAATTACATTATATTCCCAAATTAATTAAAGAAATAACCCATCATGTTAAACCTCCAAAAAAGTTTAACATGTTAATTATAAAATATTAAGTTAGACATTAAAAACAGTTTTCTCAAATTTAATATAAAATATAGACTATGAAAAAACACTGTTTAATAAATAAACTGTTTTAATTTAAAAAGTGTTCCTGAAGTAATTTAAAAAATACCCCCTCATGTCAAACTTCCAACAAAGTTTAACATGTTAATAATTATAAAATATTGAGTTAGACATTAAAAACAGTTCTTAAATTTAATATAAAATATAGACTATAAAAAGACAATGTTTAATAAATAAACTGTTTTAACCGTTTTAATTGAAAAGTTCTTCCGAATTAATTAAAAAAAATACCTCCTCATGTCAAACTTCCAAAAAAGTTTGACATGTTAATTATAAAATATTGAGTTAGACATTAATATAGAGTATTAATTTTAAAAATACCCCCTCATATTGAGTTAAACGATAATTTTTTTTTATATAAAGCTGTTTTTACACCACAAAGCTGTTTTTACACAAAGCTGTTTTTACACAAAGCTGTTTTTACACAAAACTGTTTTTACACAAAATTGTTTTTACACAAAACTGTTTTTACACAAAACTGTTTTTTACACAAAACTGTTTTTTACACAAAACTGTTTTTTACACAAAACTGTTTTTTACACAAAACTGTTTTTTAAAAATGGTTTTTATACAACTGTTTTTTTACAACTGTTTATAAAAAGCTGTTTATAAAAAACTGCTTTTATTCAAAATGTTTTTAATAAAATTTAAATATGAAAACTTATTTAAGATTTCAACCAAAATTTGATCTTCTATTATATTTACACTATTATTTGAAAATGTAAATTAATACTCCTCATTAATCAATTATTTTAGATGAGCAATGAACAATCAACCTCCCGTACTCGCCCGAACTATGTGCCCTTAACCCAAGCCGAGCGCAACAATGAAGATTCGGAATGGGTGACACCTCACATGGTTGCTAAGTAAGTAACTATGAACTTTATCTAATGTCAAATAATTTTATCTAATGTCAAATAATCTAACCAAACGGATATAAAAAAATATCATTAATTTTTTGAAGCGATCAAGAAGTGTTGAACCAAATCAAAATCATAATTGGTGGACACTTTCTTGACAACTGGGCTACGTACATGGATGTTGACCCGAAGGTCCGTGAACTTTGGTGGAACCTGTTCAAGGTAAAAAAAAATAATTTTCCGTAATTGTTGTAACCTAAAATTTAACAAATGATAAATTAATTTATTTTTTTAATAAAAGCCCGGTTTCGCTGGACTGAAGAACAAGGCCCCGCTATTATAAGGGCGTACAATGCCAGAGTTTCCAACTTGCTTCGTCCCACTTTTAAGCGTGCCGAGCCAGTGGGGTAAGGCCTCAATGGTGTTCGGATGAGGTATGGGAAAACCTCGTCCGCCACTGGTCTTCGAATCCGACTTTCTTGGCTAGAAGCGAAGTCGGGAAGAAAAATCGGATGTCCGAGAAGGCATTGACGACACAATGGCACGAAGGCCGCAAACCTCAGAGTAAACATAAAGAAGCTCTTGTAAGTTTTATTCAAATAAACCTTACACCATTTTAACCCTTTATTTTTTTACATTTATTTAAACCTTTTTTGAACCTTGTAGGCGGGGCCTCAAAAGAAGAGGGTTTCTATCCTCAAGGTCATCAAACATTGTTGGACTCCGCACGGTGATGAGTCGGACGCCGATATGCCACCCCGCCTTGCTGAAATCGAAGTACGCAACATCAATTATATTATTTCAAATCAAAGTAAATATCATTTCAATAATTTTTGTACATGCTTGTAGACGAAGTATAACGCAAATGTTGAGAAGAAGCGGGCGGAACTAGGCTTGACGCAGGAAGATGACATCGATTCTGATGTGGAAGATGATGCGATCCTTGAGACAGCTGGGGTGTATAAGCGTCGGCTTCCGTGCCTCGGGGCTGAGGGGAAACGTATTTTGTTCGATCGCAGCGACAACGGTTCAGAGCTTCATCATCTTCTCGATCTAGGCGGGGAGAGGATCCACGCATCGCCCAATTGCAGCGAGAATTAGAGGAGCAGCAGCAGGCATTCGAATAGCAACGGAAGAATGATGAAGAAACAAGGGCCCGACTGGAAGCAATGGAACGGATCGTTGCCGGATATCAGCCTCCACCTCAGCCTCTTCCTCGACTGTACATGTTGCACGTTGAGCAGACTCCTCAGGTTCCGCACATGGGTAATATGGGTTATCACTCTAACTCCAGATATGGTGCCATGCCTGCAATGGGGTCGACATTCGAATCTCTGTCGTCTGATATTCTCAATTAGTTTCAGTCATCCGGTGGAGGCAGCCGAGGAGGCAGCCGAGGAAGCAACCGAGAAAGCAACCGAGGAAGCAACCGAGGAGGCAACCGAGGAGGCAGCCGAGGAGGTACCCGACCCTTAGACACCGTGGATGGTGAAGAGGATCATCATCGTGATTATGATGATAATGATGACGCATATGAGTATGATGATTCTAATTTTTATCATAATGGAGTCTGACGTACGGGCATGTAATTACATAATATTGTTTAACATTGTATGCATTTTGTTTTTATAATTCAGTCTGTAATAACATTTTTTATGTTTAAGATTGTATGAATTTTGTTTTTATTCTAATTGCTTTAAAGTAAAATTAAAACAATTTTTTATTTTTTTATTTAAAATCGATTTTTTTTAAAACCAAAAACATTAGTCACGGACTAAATCCGTGACTATTTTTTAATCCGGAACTCTTTTCTAAATTCATTTTTTGTCAAAACATTAGTCACGGACATGTCCGTGACTACTTTAAAAAATAAAAAAATTTAAATTTAAATTAAAAGTAGTCACGGATATGGTCCGTGACTAACGCACCGGAGGGAACTAGTCACGGACAAAATCTGTGACTAAATGTGTTAGTCACAGATTTTTTACACTACGTTCCATGACTAAATCCGTGACTACAGACGAATTTTTTTGTTGTGAAATGAATATATAGAGTACATATTTTTACTCCGTATTTATTTACTTTAATAGATTTGAACTTACATAAGATATTATTTCCATCTAGCTCTCCCGCTATTTTCAATGCTCCTTACCTAATCGGCAAATTATATGGTGCAACTGGCGCACCATGAGGATGGTGCGTCCGGTTGCAAAAACGACGCAACATCTGCTTTTTTTTGCTTTTGTTGTTAAAAATGATAATAACTTTTTTATTTTTGATCCGATTTTTATAAAATTTATATCAACATTTTTTATTTTTCATGATCTTTCAAATGAGACCAATATTGTGTATGTAATTTTAAGAAATTATCTAACTTATATTAATGAGTATTGGATTATAAGGAA